TTCAGTCACTTTCTTATGCAGTCCATCGGCTCTCTTTAATTCAGGTTAAACTCCTTCCTTAAAACAATTTCTTCACTTGGCCTGTGGAATATACTTGCTCTTGATTCTCTTACCTCACTGACTGGCTTTCCTCCTCAGTATTCTCTGCTACATTTTCTTAATCTTCTTCACCTTTAAACATTGGAGTATCCAGAGGGTTTCTTTCTTGGACTTTTTCTGTGACTAGCTGATTTCATATACTTCCATAGTTTTAAATGTCATTTATGGGCTGGAGTTTTAAATTTTGTAAACTAGCCCAGGCCTTCTTTGAACTTTACAGACTCACATTTCTAGGTGTGTACTCAAGACTTACACTCACATGTTTAATGAATATTTCAAATTTAACATGTCTAGGCGACCAGCAGTTAGAGTAATGGCTATGTCGCTGAACTCTCATGTAGTCGACCGCGGTTCGAGTCCCGGACCTGGTGGCTTAAACTCACACGTGGCACGTGTGCATGCGTGCCCAAGATCCCGAGAGGAGAATGGAGGAAAAGGGATTGTGGCATGTCCATCCTCCCTGGGGGATGATTTCTCGCTTTCTATCTCTCTGTCTCTCTCTGTCTTTCTGGCAAGTGCACGTGCCCTATAGCAAAAACTTCTCAAAAAAAAAAATTAACATGTCTAAAACTTAATGCTTCATTTATTTTTCCCCAAACTTGCTTCTCAATTACATTTTCTCATATTTCAGAAAATGTCAACTCCATTCTTCCTGTTTCTTTAGTCTGTCTCACATAACATATTCAATCCATTTACAAAATTCTGTCCATGGTATCTTGAAAATTATTCAGATTCTGATACATTTTCACCACCTCCATTTGCTACCACCCTAATTAAAACCCTTACCATCTCTCCTGGAGTGCTGTAGTTGCTTCAAAACTGGTCTCCCTGCTTCTATCCTTGTACCTCTTCAGTCTCTTCTTCCTGGAGCCAAGACTTATCTTTTGAAAATCATAACATTATGTCACTTTCGTACTCAGAATTTTCTAGTGACTTCTTATTTCGCTTAAAATAAAAGCCAAAATTTGGGCCAGCAGGTGGCATGGAGACTGGATTCTACATGGCTGGCCGCACTGTTCAAGTCCTAGACCCAGTGACTTGAAAATCACACCAGGTGCATATGCATGTATGCCCAAAATGCCAAGAGGAGATGAGAAGGAATTGTAGTGTGACCATCCCCCCAGGGTGTGATTTCTCACCCTGCTCCCTCGGGTCACACACCCTATAGCAACAACTATAAAATAAATAAATAAATAAATAAAAGCCAAAATTCTTACCATTGGTCTGTGTGACTGTTAGAGGTTAAATGACTTGACTAGTATTTTTTTAAATTTATTTATTATCATCGTAATCTTGTTTATATTACTCAGTTGATAAGTGTTGGAGCCAGTTCTGAATCCAAGTTTGTGTGACTCCAATACCACAACCTTACTCTTACTGTGAGCCTTGCACTGTCTCTCATCTTGTCTCCTATCACTCTCTCACTGCCCTAACCTCCTTACACATGTCTGCTCTGTTCCAGTCACATCAGTTTGTCATACATGCCTCAGGCCCAGTGCATTTGCCATCAGCTCATCTTGGGAGGCATTTTCCACAAATGTCTACTGGGTATACACTCTCATTCCTTCAGTTCTTTGCTCAGATATCACCTTTCGAGAAGGCCTGGTCATCCTATTTAAAATTACAAATCACCCAAGCACTGCATTTTCCCCTCCCTGCTTCATTTTTCTGCATAGCACTCACCACCATCTGATGTATTACATATTTTATTTAATATATTATCTGTCTCACCCAGCTTGAGTCCATGTTGGCAGAGATTTTTATCTCTTTTGTATTCCCTGTACCAACAATAGATGTGTTAAATACCTAGTGTTTTTTTTTTCTTTTAATATTTTATCAGGTGCTACACAGTTTATGCCTGACCCCAAGCTCATGGATCACGGGCAATCCCATCCAGAAGATGTAGATATGTACAGTACTAGAAGCTGAAAACGACTGCATACAGACTACATAGAGAACTACAAGATGTGTGAAACTGCAAATGATGATGAAAAAAATCATGTAATGGGTAACTGCCATCATATAGATTATAACTAAAGTTTTTCCATTACATTTTCAAATATAAAGTTTGACCAATCACATATGTGATTAAAATACAAGCTATTAATACAATTCAAATAATATGAAATGATTGATGAGACACAGGTAGAAGTATTAGAATGCATTTGACTTTTAAAGGTATTGACTAAAAATCAAAACAGAATAAATGAAGATATAAATACCAATGAGACTAAAATCTGATAATCCCTATGTATATATATATATGTATATGGCATACATATACACACACATATATACATTTATATCTGTTCTAGCTTTTCTGAATTTATGTCAGTTAAATTAGATTGATGTGTGGAAAGATGTGTTTCCTCCTTTTTTTTATTTCTCAGAGCTGGAATAAAATATACATATTTTATGGCAAAAAAAACCTTTCTCATCATCTCTTTTATTTTTTAAGATATATTTATTTAATTTTATTCTTGGGTGTGGCTTTTTTCTTTGCTTTATTAATGTTAATTTCTCTTAAAGTGTCTAAAAACACCTTTAATCATTTAAGAGGACCATATGCTACATGGGCCCTCTAATTTTGCTTAGTAATTCTACTGGTTCCTAAGTGGTTTACTATTCTGTTTCCCAGGAGAAGTGTTATAAAGCTTTTATTCTCTTCCAGCCTCTTAATACCTGCCAAAGTTGACTCTATTTTATAGAGATAAAAATAAATTATTAGACCTGACCATTCCCAATTTCTTTCTACTTTTAAGACTTTCCTCTTTTCAGCTTTCTACTCCTCTCTTCTAAAGGCTAATGCTTCTATTTGTATTCCTGATCTCATTTCTTCTCATCTTTTCCAGGATGATATTTCATCTTGTTTAATCTTTTTTCTGTCTCTCCGGGAGTACAAGTGCCCTATAGCAAAAATCTCTCTAAGGAAAAAAAAAAAAAAAGACAAGACAGGAGCATAGAGAATAAGAAAAGAGGACTAGGAATACAATCTAAGGAGCCTCATCATTTAAGGGATTTACAACAAAAAAAGAGAAAGAATAATAGAATCAGGAATATCAGAAAGTAAAGGGAAGAGTGAGTTTCAAGTCCGGAGTAGTGAAGAGGCAATAATTAAATAAAAAATTCAAGTAAGTATGGAGGACAAGATGTCACAAGTTAGAGAGGAATTCAAAGTGAGAAATAAAAAGAACATTACTTGAAAGAAGTCTGATAATCATAAGAAGGAGAGAGAAAAGGTAGTCTGAGGGAAGAGGCAGAGTTAAGGAAAGGTTGTTGTCTTTTTGTTATTGTTACTTTTAGATAAAAATGCCAGAAGCTATTTAGAGGTTGAGGAAAAATATACTAGAAGAAAAACTAAAGAAAAAAGATTAAACAAGATGAAATATGATCCTAGAAAAGATGAGAAGAAATGAGATCAGGAATACAAATAGAAGCATTAGCCTTTAGAAGAGAGGAGTACATACAGCTTCAAAGTATGAAGAGATAGGCAAAATGTGCACAACATGGTTCTGATCTCCTTTTACCAGAAAAACAACTCCTTTATTAGAATCTCCTGAAAAGACTTCTGTGTATATGTCAACACAAACTTGACATATAGCCACAAACTTAGCTCAAGGAAGATAGGCAAATCATGTTTTGTTTTATATTTTTCCTCTTGTGGTAAGGAAGACAAGGGGTAAGGGACTGGGAATGGAAATTGAGTTTGAGCAAACATAGAGTTCCTGCTACCCTATTCCTTTAACCTGTCACATTATTATGATGTAGTTGTCTTTCTGATAACTATTATGAAGTGTTGTCCTTCTGAAATCTTCAGTGGTTTATCAGTATCTACAGAACCAAAATTCCTTGGTATGACTTACAAGGTATGACATGTCTGATCCCAGCTTACCTTCTAATCATATCTTCTCTCTCTCTACCTGCTCTATTGCCAATGTATCTTGTATTTATGACATGCCATTTGTTTCTTAGACATAATTTGCAAGTCATGCCTCTCTTTCTCTGCCTATGCTATTCTCTTCTTAAAATGCTCTTCTGTCTCATCATGCCCCACATTCTAATCTCCTATCCATCCTTCAAATTCAGTTCCAGTGTCACTTTTCTCAATTCCCCAAGATAGAATTTAGATATTCTCTCCTCTATATTCCCTTGCACTTAGTATTTATATATTCCCTTGCACTTAGTATTTATATATAGAAGCTCTGCAATTTCTTAGTATTTTCATACAGACAAGGCCCCTGGTGTATATGGCTACATCATCTTTGTGAAGTTTCTCTGCCCATGAAATAAATGCCTGATACAGAATAGGATCTTACATCTTTTACTCTGCTGACTGCAGCACAGGATACTGAATAATTATCATTCTAACAAAGTTTTCCCACTCTAATAGGAAGGCAAGAAATATGTGTAAATACAGTGTTTGTATCTGTTCCAAAATATGTACAACCAAAGAGCTTTAGATGTAGTTCTGAGATGATGTCAAGGAGGCTATGGTTCCTAAGCTGCTCAAGGTGGGAAAGCAGTTCACTTGCTGGTTATTGCAAATAAGCCCTTCAGAATTTAGCTCCAGTATTTTGAAGTGATTTCTTTTAACCTAAGATCTATTTATATTCACATTTATATTTATATTCAAATAATACCCATATTTCATCAAATCTAAGACACTACTACCTTTAAGTAAAAATGTTGTCAGTTGGTTATTATACTTACCCTAATTCCAGATATGTTAAAATGTGAAAAAAAAGCATCTTAAATTTGATGGAATATGATAGGTAAAATATAAATAACCCAAAGCCATATAAGTGATATTTTTGCATGATCTGTTCTTTTGCCTTGTCAGCACTATTATTTGCTATTAGTATATACACTTATTTGGATAGTGGGAAGTTGACTGTATCTGCAAATATGTTTCAAAGTAAAAGATCTGCTTAAACAAGAATGTTATGATCACTTGCTCTATTTTACAACATTCAAAGTCAAACTGCTGTTAGAGTTAGGTGACATTCAAATGTTGGTGCCTATATTGGGATGAGCTGTTATATGGCCACTTTCATTCTTCCTCTGCCATGTCCATGAGTTCTTCTCTATTAAACCTGAAAAGATGCCAGCCCTCTTCAGAAGAAAGGTCTAGAGCCCCCCGACGAGTGTAGTAGTTAATAGAGTCCTGATTCCAAATGACGACAAGAAAGTGCATGCAATTACATTGACTCCTGATGGCTATCTGTTTAAAAACAAACAAGCAAAGGTTACTTTTATTTGAAGGTATAGTCTTCATTAACATATTTATTTTGTTGAAAGTATACTATATGCAAGATACTATATATGTATAATACTTCCAAATAATAATATAGTAGCTATCTTTTGGACTTCTCTATAGCTGTAAAAAGGAAAAAAGTCCCACTGTTATGTAGATTAAAATTCCTCTTTTTAAAAGCTCGAAACTATGCAGTCTTTATTCTATAGAAACAAAAAGTTTACCTAAATGAATATATTATATTTCCAAAACAGAAAAGGAGCTTTTATACTGTTTTCTTATTCATATTGTGTACCTCATTTATGGGTAAAATTGTCCTCTAATCTCCATTATGCTTGCTTCAGCTTGCTAGCAAAAATGGTGTCTAGTGTATTTGTGAATTATATAGAAATCCATTTTTATTTAAATATTGCTCATATTAAACCTATGTGAGTATGTGCTTTGAAAACCTACTGTAAATTGGATTAAAAAATTAACGCATATGTTGGTGTTATATTCAAAATGAGATTACTCATTAAATTTTAGAAAAATAATATTTAATGAAGAGAAGGATAAATATAGAATATCAGTACTAATAATAATACGTACTTGACTTAGCCTCTTCAGCAATTCAGCTCCAATGCCTAGACCTTTTAAATAGATAATGCAAAATAAAAACCATAAGTTAAAATTCTTTGTAACTAGTTATTTGCTTTAGTTTAAAGGAAATGAAATATAAAACCCTTTATCTGTTGTTACATATTCTTACTGTCTTGTGTAGAAGCACACCTCATGAATGCTCTTGACATCTCTTTTTCCTTGTTAGAATGTGGCACCAGAGGTAATAGAAAAGAGTTTGGGTTCATTTTAAAGATGAGCAAAGAAGAAATGAATCTGTTACTATTGTCTTATAATGGCATAGTTCTTATCTATTTCTACTCAAAACCAATCTAAAATATAAAATCATTTTTACAAGATAAAAATATAGGGGCTGGCAGTTGGTGTGGTGGTTATGAGCGCTGGACTCCCACATGGCCGACTGCGGTTCGAGTGCCAGAACTGAAGGCTAGCTTTCTCACTTTGCTTCTCTCTGTCTTTTTCTCTCTCTCTCTTGTTCTCTCGCTCTGTCTCTCTTGGCCAAATTAAAATAAATAAGTAAATAAAGTTAAATTTAAAAAATGATAAAAGTATAACTGTGATAGCTTGCTTTATTCAAACCTTGGTAGGAACTAATAAAATGTTTTTGTAATCTGTGATTGAGTCATTGCCACATGCAAGGATAACTAGGATAGTGATCAAGTTCGTGAAGTAGAACTAAGTAACATAAAGTAACATAAACACGATACTTATACTAAAGCCCTATCTTGGTTCTTTAAAATATGCATTTTAATTTTAACATATTTTTAAGTAATGTTGTATTTTTACCTCGGTAAGCTTTTATGACATAAAAATCCTCCAGGTAAAGTAACTTGCCTATCCAGGGGTCGTATGTGAAGTAGTACATGGCAAATCCGACAGTTACTTTACCTAGGAAGATAAAAGATAAAGTACAGTGAGGATAATGCTTTGAATTTTAGGAAATTCTTTACCCCCAAAAGGAATATCTTTGGTGTTTCTTTTAACTGTTAAAGTAGTAAATGCTCACTGAACAAAATAACAAATAGTACCAAAATATATAATGTAGGCTTAATTCCATTATAAATAAAACCTTTTGAGAGAGAAAATCTGTTTTTACAGTGTAGTATATGATCTTCAAAAATTTTAATGTATGTACAAACATAAGTACATACCACACATTTTATTTTCAAAAAACAAAACTGGGTTTATATATACATTTTTACTGACTTATAATAATTATATGCTTTATATTAATAACTGCACTTTGTTTTCAGGATACAGAAAATATACTCCCGATTAAATTGGAGAATGAAGATTTGCTTTACCTGATGGTTTTTGTTGATTTTGTACTTCTGCAATTAGGCAGTAGAAAAGGGGATTTTCCCCAAAGCCATCCCTGAGTAAATCTGAAATATCAATTCACATACAATGTGTTAGAAAGTTTATACCAGGGCCCAGCAGATGGGGTAGCAGTTCTTTTGTTGGACTCCCACATGGCCAACTATGATTCAAGTCCCAGACATGACAGCTTGAAATTCATGCTGAGTGCGTGTATATGCATGTGTCCCCAGGGTCCCAGGAGGAGAATGGATTGCAGTGTGACCATCCCCCCAAGGGGGCGAATTCTCACTTTCTCTCTGTCTCTGTCTCTCTCTAGCGAGAGCATACACCCTTAGGCAAAACTCAAATAAATAAATAAATATTAAAAAGTTTATAGCACACAGAGGGAAGATGGTGGAGTAGAAAGCACCAGGAATTCTTTCCACTTGGATAGCAATTGTACTAGCAGTAATTGCTTTAAATGTAAATGAATTAAACCCTTCAGTTCAAAGCACAGAGATGAGCAGAATAGATATTTTTTAAAAATGATCCAACTATATGCTGTCTACAATAGACACACGCTAGATCCAAAGACACAAATAGATTGAGAACGAAATCATAGAAAAAGATCTTTCACGCAAATTGTAACCAAAAGAGAGCTGGGTTAGCAGTATTAATTCCAGAACAAAATAGACTTTAAGTAAAAAAATATTACAAGAGACAAAGGAGGATACTATGCAATAATAAGAGGGTTAATTCGCCATGGAGATACAGCATTTATAAACACAATATAGAGAATGAATATCACAGCTCCAAAATAGATAAAGCAGACACTGACAGACTGAAGGGAGAAATACAGAGCAATACAATTACAGTAGGAGACTTTATTATCCAACTTATAATAACATACAGAACAACTAGAAAAGTTAAATAAGGAAATAGTGACCAGCACTATAGACAGTTGGGTCGCACAAACATATGCAGAACACTACCCAACAACAGCAGTATGCACATCTTTCTCAAGCATACATGGCTCTTTCTCTAGGATAAGCCATATGTTAGGCAACCAACCAAGTCTTAACAAAATTTAAAAGACTGATATCATACACAGTATCTTTTCTAATCATAATGGAATGCAATTAGAAGTCAACAACAGAATAAAATAATAAACAATACACTGATAAAAAAATCAATGAGTCAAAGAAGAAATTACAAGGAAAATTAGAAAATTCTTAAGATATGGAACCAGCAATTGGCTTCATGGCTATGTCACTGGATTCCCATGTAGTCGACTGTGGTTCAAGTCCTAGACCCCGTGGCTTAAACTCACACGGGGCATGTGTGCGTCCATGCCCAAGATCCCGAGAGGAGAATGGAGGAGAAGGAATTGCGGTGTGGCCATCCCCTCTACAGGGTGATTTCTTGCCTTCTGCCTCTGTCTTTCTGGCGAGCACAAGTGCCTTATAGCAGAAACCTGTCAGAAAAAAAAATTCTTGGGACCAGCAGTTAGCATAATGGCTATGTCGCTGGACTCCCACGTAGTCGACCACGGTTCGAGTCCTGGACCTGGTGGCTTAAACTCACACCAGGCGCATGTGTGGGCGTGCCCAAGATCCTGAGAGGAGAATGGAGGAGAAGGGATTGTGGCGTGGTCATCCCTTCTGGAGGGTGATTTCTTGCTTTCTCTCTCTCTCTTTCTCTCTCTCTGGCTAGTGCATGAGCCCTGTAGCAAAAACCTCTCAAAAAAAAATCCTTAGAAATAAATGAAAACACAAGAAACAAAACCGTATGGGATACAGCAAAAGCAGTGCTCAGAGGGAATAATGTAATCTAGTATACCTACATTAAAAAGAAAAGATCTCAAACAGTAATCTAACCTTACACCTTAAGGTACTAGAAAAAGAGCAAGCTAAGCCCAAAGCCTGCAAAAGAAAGATAATCATAAAAAAAATAGAGAAGAGAGAAACATAGAGAATAGCGACAAAAATCAATGAAACCAAAAGTTGGTTATTTAAAAAGATCGACAAAATTGACAGCTAGATTGATGAAGAAAAGAAAATGTAAACAGTTAACATGCAAGTGGGAACATTACTAACCAACCTTACAGTTGTAGAAAGGATTGTAAAAAAAAATTTCAATTAAATACCAAGAGTTAGATTGTGGCACGGAGACTCTGGTAAGAATCAATCTCTGTGTGTGTCTTTTTCTTTTTCTCCCTCTTTCTGCCTCTCATGGAAGAAATTATTTTAAAAAAAAATACGGAATGAAATTTTCCTTTTTTGAGAGGTTTTCGCTATAGGGCGCATGCACTCGCCAGACAGACAGAGAGAGACATAGAGACAGAAAGCGAGAAATCACCTCCCAGGGGGGATGGTCACACCGCAATCCCTTCTCCTCCATTCTCCTCTCAGGATCTTGGGCACACACGCACACGCGCCCGGCGTGAGTTCTAAGCCACTGGGTCTGGGACGCAAACCGTGGTCGACTACGTGGGAATCCAGAGACATAGCCATTATGCTAATTGCTGGTTCCCAGGAATGAAATTTTGATACAGGCTACAACTTGGATGAACCTTGAAAATATGCTAAGTGAAATAAGCCAGATATACAAGGGAAAAAAAAACTATGTTTTGAATCATATGAGGAACCAAGAATAGGTGAATTGATAAGGATAGAAGTAGAATAGTGGTTATAAAGGGCTGGGTGGAGAGGGTGGCAATATAGAGTTATTGTTTAATGGTCCGTCTCAGTTTGGGATGGTGAAAATGTTTGGGAGATGAATATTGATCATGTTTACACAACAGTGTGAATGTATTTAATGCCACTAAGCTATATAGTGAACAAATGGTTAAAATGATGTATAGTTTGTATATTTTCCTGTAGTTTTTATGTTTACATGAATAGCAAAGGTAGAGAAAATAAGAACTATCTCACTTGCCTCTATACAAATACATAAGGACTTTCAAAGATAAAATCAGAATTGGGGTTATTTTGAAATCACTGCAATTCAAAAATATACTGAATCCTAAAACAGGAAGATCGAGTATATAAAGTATTTTTTGTTGGTTAAGATTAAACTTTATACTTTTTCTGAACAATGTTTTTCTAACTACAATGAAATAGTGAGGGACATTATCTCAACATGGTACTACTGTAATGCTTTCATAGAGTATCCATTACCTTCAACTTTTATATTTCTTATAATTTCCTCTAGACCAATGAAATTACTATTTAGTTAACATTATGGTGGTGTTAATTACCACGAACATAAGAATCATCACATGAAATGACTGATTGATGATTCATGTAGGTTAAAGTTCTGTTTCTGATCAAAGCACCAAGAATGGCTTGTTTGGACACAGTAAAAAAGACCTCAGGGACCAGCAGTTAGCGTAATGGCTATGTTGCTGGACTCCCATGTAGTCGACTGAGGTTCAAGTCCCGGACCCGGCAGCTTAAATTCACGCCAGGCGCGTGTGCGTGCATGCTCAAGATCCCGAGAGGAGAATGGAGGAGAAGGGATTGTGGTGTGGCCATCCCTCCTGGAGGGTGATTTCTTGCTTTCTATCTCTCTGTCTCTTTCTGTCTTTCTGTTGAGCACACATGCTCTTTAGCGAAAACCTCTCCAAAAAAAAAAAAAAAAAAAAGAAATAAAAAACTTATAAAAGATCCTAACTTCCTTTTGAATGTGTCACCCAGTATTATAGTGAAACATGTATCTCCTTTGAAAAATATTTTCTGTCTATTGCATGCATTCTTTTTTTTTATATATAATTTTTTTTTTGGAGAGATTTTCACTGTAGGGCGCGTGCGCTCACCAGACAGAGAGAGAGAGACATAGAGACAGAAAGCGAGAAATCACCCCCCAGGGGGGATGGTCACGCCGCAATCCCTTCTCCATTCTCCTCTCGGGATCTTGGGCACGCACGCACACGCGCCCGGCATGAGTTTTAAGCCACCGGGTCCGGGACACGAACCGCGGTCGACTACGTGGGAGTCCAGCGACATAGCCATTACGCTAACTGCTGGTTCCCTATTGCATGCATTCTTAAATGCTCAGCTTCAAGGTGTTATCCTTCATCACACTCTTCTATGGGTCAATAAATAATTCTCTACCTAGTCTGCCATTTGTAATTTTATATACTTTAGTCATCTCTTCATGTTTACTATCCAAAAAGTTCTGATTCATCATAAATCACTATCCTATCCCATTAATATTGCTTGCTATCTAAATGTAGCAAATACTTTGAAAGTATTTCCAATCATTTTGCTTTTATCAGTTTTATCCTATCAAACTACTGCCTACACACTATACTTTAAATTATACTTTTTGACCAGTAACATTTCTCATTCTACATTTTGGAAGGCAGTTGAAGTCTACTGTAGCTGTAAAGGTGTAAGAGCTGTTTAATATCAATTTCACACTAAAAAACATGGAAAAAATATAATAGTGGATCACTAACAAGACTACCAAATTTATGCCCTGTGCATATAGTTGCTATTTATGGCATTTTTACATAAGAACAGCAGCCTCTGAATTTCTGAGTACAAGTAGTACTGAATAGATTTTTTTGATACTTCATTTTCTTGCTCTAAAAATATCACAAAATATCTTAGCCATTACTGTTAACTTCACTGCATCTAGCATGTTTTCACAGGCAGCCAATTCCTGTCAAAGTAAATAAAACATTCAGTTTATGATTTAGTAATGAATTCTTAAAGTGATAATTATCATGATGCTTTTGTTGAACGTTTATTGACATATGATGTCCTGGGCAGTGTTAAAGTTAGTTGCATTTAATCCAAGTCATCTAAAACTTTTAAATCTAAAATAGCAATGCAGGAAAAGAAAAAAAAAAAAAACAAAACCCCGATATAAAGAGAAGGAGACGATTAACTGTGTTGTTACCTCACTCATACAGTTCAGTTACTTGGATTACTAGTCTTTTTTTTTTTTTTTTTAGAAGTTTTTGCTATAGGGTCCGTGCGCTCGCCAGACAGAGAGAGACAGAGAGACAGAAAGTCACTCCCCATGAGGGAAGGCCATCCTGCAATCCCCTCTCCTCCATTTTCCTCTTGGGATTTTGGGCACATATGCACCTGGTATGAGTTTTAAGCCACCAGGTCCAGGACTTGAACTGCAGTCAACTATGTGTAAGTCCAGTGATGTAACCATTACACCATCTGCTGGTCCCTTAATTATTACTAGTCCTAAATCCAACCAGAAACTGGAAAGTAAAGCAAAAAAGATTTCTGAGTGTTCACAGCAGATGTCACTAAGTTTATGTATTATGAAGTTCATAGACTACAGAAAAGTTTCGTGTATTTGCCTGTGAGGTGTTTTTACTGGTTTAACTTTAAGCCTTTTTGATATGGCTTTTTACTTTGTCTTTTTTTTCCCCACACATTCCAATTTTTTCCTTCATGGTTTGTATCTCATATTTGGAAAGGTTATAAAAATATTCACCTTGGGGGGCCAGCATGTGGTGTGGTGGCTAAGGCACTGGACTCGCATATGGTTGACTGCAGTTCAAGTCCCGGGCCAACACTGTTTGAATCCCACACCAGATGGCTTGGAAATCATGCCTAGCATGTGTATGTGCATGGCCAAAATCTCAAGAGGAGAATGGAGGAGAAGGAATTGTGGCATAGCCATCACCCCTGAGGGTAATTTCTCATTTTCCCTCTCTGTCTCTCTCTCGTGAGCATACATGTCTTGTGACAAAAATCTGAAAAAAAAAGACAACTTTATATTCTTTTTAAATTCTTAATAACTGATTCACTTGGATTGGGACAATATAAGAAGTACATGGATTCCACCATTATCTTTCCCCCCATTTTTCCCAACACCAATTATTGAATAATCCACCTTTTATTGTTAACTTGAAATGTTCTTTTCATCACATACTGTAATCTCATATATACTTAAGAAAACTTCTGGACTCTCCCTTCTGTCCCATGGATTTATCTCTGCACCAATTACCCTAGTATTTTATTTACTTATAGCTTTATAATATCTGGTGGGAGTCATTTCCCTTCATTCTTTTCTGAACTTGTTTATCCTTTCACATGAAAATGTGAGGACTTTGACTAGTGTCGTATTACATTTATAAGAGAGAAAAAACTTTTAAAATATGTAGGGAAGATAAGAAAGGCCAGATTAAGTAGGGCCTTAACAAATTTGCAGTTTAATCTCAATGCAACCAGAAACCCAAAGGATACTTAGACACTTGGGCTGTTGTGCAGACAGTACATTGGACAGGATGAGTAATAATTTAATTTATATACACACTCCCTCCAACACTATAAATTCCTTGAAGAAAGAAACTAATTCAGTAATCCTTATGTCCTTTATAGTAATTAGCATATTAGCATATAGTCTTTTTAAATATATACTCATTGTTGGTACAACGAACAAATATATTAATACTACCCAACATTCATCTGTTGATCACCAGTGTGTGAAACCATTTTTTGAGAACAACACAGTAAAAAGTTTTAGATGGAAAGTCTGGCAAGTTACGGCTGCCCAGCTATAAAACTACTAGATTCCCAAATAATGCTGTAATGTGATGATTGAGAATAGGATAAAACAGATGGATAGAGTATACTTGGGAGAATTTTAGTGACAGGACAGTAAATAAGATCAGTATGTTCAGGTAAGGAATTGTTGTGATGGCAAACTAGTTAAGTCCATTGCAAAGAGATGTTTTGCAAACTTAACAATGAGTAGGAATTAGGACAAATGGACCTGTTGTAGAGAAGAACATAAAGTCCTAAGGCAATTAATCACTACATACATATCTGTCATGCAGAGCATATAACTTTACTATTTTTTTTCTATAGTGAATATTCATAAAAATTGGTCACAAGAAACTTCTGGTATGTTTTCAGATAAAGAAGACAAATTTAAAAAGTAAATGTGTGGACCAGCAAGTGGCATGGTAGTTAAGGCACTGGATCCCTCATGTACAACTCCGTGGTTTGAGTCCTGGATTTGGCAGCCTAAAAATCACACCGGGCATGTGTGTGAGTGCACTTGTCCAAAATCTCAATAAGAGAATGGAAGAGAAGGGATTGTGGTGTGTCCACTCATTACCTTCACCCTTTCTCTGGTGAGCTCACACTATAGGAAAAAACAAAAACTATTTAAAAAAATTGACTGTTATCAGGAAATCTACAGATGCAGGTTTGTTCAAGTGAGAGTCTAGTGAAGTGTGTTTTCCGTGATGATGGCAATAGTCACTGTTTGGAAAGCTAAAAAAGCTAAGTTAACCAGGTACAGAGATTCTCTGTCATTAAGTAATAAATTCATAGGAAGAATGCTAAAATTATTATTTTTTAAATTGCCAGAGGCTGTATGCACATTCCAGACAGTGGTGGAAGAACAGAGAGGGGGCAAAGCACCCCCATTGGGGCATGGTGATGCTCAAATCCCTTCTCTGTTACTCCATCCTGCCTAGATTTGAGGCACACACACAGCTGCATGTTTTTTAAGTCAACAAAGCTGGGATTTGAACCACCATCAACCATGTGAGGTCCAGCTTCTTTAACCACTAGGCTATGGAGCTGGCCTTAAAATTATTTTCTACTACCTAGAAAAAAAAATGGAATAACTAACTCATTAGGTATAGTATTTTGACTTATTATCCAATCAAACAGATTAATGACAGAAAAATGATATGAGGCTTGTGGGGATGAGATAAAATGGAAACCATGAAAGGAAAAATAAGCCAGTTCTTACAAATCTATAAGCAGAACTAGTATCGCTTCAATAGGTGGACACTATAGAACTTTGTCTTTAACTTTGGTCACTGAAACCCACTCTCCAATAAAAGAACACAGCCTAGTTTAGACAAAATTTAGATTTATCAGTAAACAGGTGGAAACATTTTCATTACAAAACTCTTGTGAGGTTTCCATATCTATAATCTTTGCCTTGTTGCAGCCCACATATTTACTCCATAAATAATCTGGATTACTGCTTTTAATAATATGACTTCATATGGAATTGTTTAGGTTGTGCATCACAGAAATTATTGCATTCAGTACTATAACTGTGTTTCTTATATTCTTTTACTGCACTGGAAAGATTTCCAGGAACATCATTAAAACAAGCATTTAAGGGGCCAACAGTTGACCTGGTGGTTAAGGCTCTGAACTCCCACATGAATAACTGTGGTTCCACCCCCCACCCCCCAGATGCAGTGGCTTGAAAATCACACAGGGCATGTGTGCATCTGTGCCCAAAATCCCCAGAGGAAAATGAAGGAGAAGGGATTGCAGCGTGGCTATCCCCCCTGGGGGGTGATTTCTCACTTTCTGTTTCTCTGTCTTCTGGTGAGTGTACACATGTCCTATGGCAACAACCTTAAACAAAAAAGGCAAAATTTGTAACTCAGCTCCTTGAATTTAGAAAAGAGGCTGTCTGTGGATGTGCTTTCAGTGTCAAATTGTATGGAAAATTCCTGTGCAAGTATTGTTATTTGGACAGTCAATCATTGGATTTTACAAGTAGGTATGATCTTAGAAACAGCAAGTTTCCCTACCCCAAAATCTTAGTCTTTAACACCTGAAAGTCTACCATTGACTAATCATTCGAGTTAAGCATTTCTTTTCTCCAAGATCCTCCTTTAGAGTCAAAGTGTGCCCAGGAGAGAAGCACACCCAGTCCCTATAATTTCCCCAAGTTGGTTCTCCCATAACTTTTTGAGTCCTCCTACTATCTGCCAAACAATTTACATGTAATCATTTTGAGATAAGCTTTTTATTTTCCTAGAGGGCATGTGTACTTCCTAAACAGAGAGAGAGAGGGGAAAGCACTCCCCAGTTGTGTGTGGACATGCCACAATCTCTTCTGCTTCATCTCTCCCTACTTTCAGAATTGGGGGCACAACCACATGAATACCCAGCATGATTTTTCAAGCCACTGGTTCTGTGAGTCTAACCACTGCAGTTCGCTATGTGGGATCCAGCTACCTTAACCACCAGGCCAGGGGACCAACCCAGACATAAGATTTCTATAATCTTGATTTTAGATGTGACAAACTGAAGATTAGAGAGATTAATTTACAGAAGATTGTGTACAGGGATCATATTTAACAGAGTCAGGATTCAAGCCCAGACTATGTCTCCCTTACTTTCAGCCCTATATTAATGCTATGGCATTCCATGGAATAAAGACAGACTTACTTTAATCAGTCGCAGGATTTCTGGGCAGTCTCGAGCCTCTGCAGATCTTACTCGGAAAGAATCCATACTTGGTTGCTTCGTGCCTGATTGGCTCGTTTCTGGTTGGCTCACACCTGATAGGCTTGAATCTAGTTGACTTGGGCCTGGTTCACTTCTGCCTGATTGGTTTAGAACTATTTGATTCAGGTCTTGTTGATTCCAGCTTGGTTGACTTGGGCCTGGTTGCCACGAGCCTAGTTGACACCTGACTGGTTGGTTCATGTCCACCATGCTTGGTTGGCTTGTGCTTGATGGGCTCTTGCCTGACTGACTGGCACCTGATTGGCTTATGCCTGGTTGGCTTGTATATGATTGGCTGGCACATGGTTGCCATGTGTCTGGTGGGCTAGAAACTATTTGGCTCATGACTGGTTGCCGCATGCCTAGTTGGCCTATGCTTGGTTGCTTCTTGTCCAGCTGGTTTGTGCCTGGTTTCCAGGTGTCTGTTTTCTTCATGCACAGTTGACTTGGGTCCAGTAGAGTCACGCTTGATCGCCTCACACCTGGTTGGCTCGTGCCTGCTTGCCAGGTGCCTGTTTCATTCATACAGGGTTGTTTTGAGTCCAGTAGGCTTACACTTGATCGCCTCATGCCTGATTGGCTTGTGCTTGGTAGCCAGGTGCCTGCTTCCTTCATATACAGTTGGTTCGGGTCCAGTAGGTTCACACTTGATCGCTTCATGCCTAGTTGGCTGGACCTTAGTTGCCAAGTGCCTATTTGTTTCATGTTCAGTTGATTTGAATCCAGTAGGCTTGCACTTGATCCCCTCATGCCTTGTTGGCTTGTGCCTGCTTGGCTCATATCATGCAGGCTTGTAGTTGATTGGTTCATATCTAGTTGGTTTATGCTAATTAAGCTTGCGCCTGACTGGCTCATGACTGTTTGGTTCAAGTCTGAGGAGTTCGACTGATTCATCCCTGATTGATTCATTCCTAATTGATTCGTGCCTGGTTGACTGAAGATGGGTTGACTGAGGACTGGTTGTTTTATGACTGAGGGAAGGCTGGTTGGTAGATGGTAGGTTGGCAGATAACTGACTGTTCAGTAACTCAGTATCTTGATGAAATAGAAGTCCTTAATTACAGTGCTGTGTTGGAAGGCTGTGGTCTGTTTCCGGCTTTTCTCAACTTGATTGGTGCTTGGAGATGCCACTCTATCAAGGTGGGAATTAGAAAAAGATAGGGCTACCTGAGAAAGGTTATTGATGCCTCCGGCTTGCTGGAGATGACTTCACCAGCAATCACAGCTACAGTTTGGCTTGTTTTCAAGTTATCATCTGCCCTTTCCCTGCTGACAGGCTGGAAGTAAGGGGAAGAAACTGGCTCTGGGGGAGCGTTACCTCCTTACCCGCCTTGAGCGGCCACTGCGTCATAATGAAGTCACAATGCCGGTATCCATGTGCCTAACTGCTGCCCCACCCCCGCCCCCCTGTGAAGCAACGCACAGCTGATAATCACTTTATTTTCACCTAAGAATTTAAGAGTATGAAACAAGTCTCAGAGCTTATGCTTTGCGCTCCCTTAGGTGTACCTGCTGTTTTAACAGTTTAAAGAAACTTGCCTCAACCCTTTCCCACACTCTAGTCCTCAAATAATTTACTTCCTATTTCTGTCCTGATTTTCACTTAGATTAGAAACTAGAATGTGTATTATTGTTAGGCTGAGATACTCAAGTCCTAAATGCAGAAAATATTTCTTTAAAAATAACAGTTACGACTACCATTTACTGAGTTCTTTTAGGACTAGGATCATTAGAAAGCATTTCACATTTTTTCATTGAATCCCATAGCAGCCCTATTATCCCTAATTCTGAGGCAACTGCCTCAAAAGATTTGGTAACCTATCCAAGGCCTCTCATAATAGCAGACAGCCTGAATTCAGACCTACATTTACTGGATTCCCTTTCCCACATTGCTCATTCTTTTTTATTTTTTTAGAGGATTTTTTTTTTTTTTGCTATAGGGCACGTGTGCTTGCCAGACAGACAGAGAGAGACATAGAGACAGAAAGCGAGAAATCGCCCCCCAGGGGTATGGCCATGCCGCAATCACTTCTCCTCCATTCTCTCGGGATTTTGGGCAAGCACGCACACACGCCTGGTGTGAGTTTTAAGCCACCAGGTCTGGGACGCAAACTGCAAACCACATTGCTCATTTTCTACCCCTATATTTGCCATGTCAGGCATATTGCCCCTCCTTCTGCCTACTACTGCCCAGTATATTTTGTATAGTATTACTTAAAATAGAGTGTCTTCTATTTTTTAAATATACTAAAGAACTTTGGTGGAAGCTGTCCTATGTTTCACACTGTGCTAAGGGCTTTAGCTCATTTAATCACCAAAGCAACCTTGTGATGTGATGTGATGTGCACATGGTGTGGTTACTCGTTTTATCAATAAATTGGAACTTAAAAAGATTAATTTAATGAATGCTTCTTGCAGTATCAGGCTCTGTCCTAAGAAACAATTTACTTGTATTAGCTCACTTACTCCTCACAATACGGCAGTGAAGTAGGTGATATTATTCTCTGTACTTGACTGGTAAAAAACAAGTTCAGAGGCACCAGCAGTTAGCATAATGGCTATGTCACTGAACTCCTATGTAGTCGACCATGGTTCGATTCCTGGACCCAGTGACTTAAACTCACGCCAGGCGCTTGTGCACACGTGCCCAAGATCCGGACAGGAGAATGGAGGAGAAGGGATTAGGGCGTGGCCATCCCCCCCAAGGGGTGATTTCTCACTTTCTGTCTCTCTGTCTCTGTCTGTCTTTCTGG